AATAAAGTGTCCAAATTTCTCCGTGCGATTTTGTTTGCGAACGAGAGGCAAGTTGATGTATGCAAATTTCACGTAAATAATTAGCCAATTTTGTGACTCCGACCACAAAAACGGATGTTCTAATTTTTCTAAAAAATAAAAAGCTTTTGGCGGGAACAATCCACATCAGGTATCTTATTTACCTAAAAGCTATTCATGGACAAAAAACGAAAGAAAGCGATTTTTCAACTCTTGCCACGAAATTAAGATTTTGGTCGATATTTCCTGACCGTCGCTCTTAAAATCCAAGTTCCTCAATTTCTCTGTTCAAGAGCCTTTTTCAGTTAATTTTCTCTATTCTTCTTAGAGCATTCAATAATCAAATTGGACACAAAATGAATCAAATTTAATTTTCTTTTAAAGCTTTCAGATCTGAAATCAAATTTCACACTAACCCTGGGTTATCTTAACCCAGCATTGAACAACCTAGCCCTGATAAACAACGGACAAGATTTGAATATTCTGCGGGGTTTGTTGTAAGCACTTAAGCTTGGGTTATTTTTGCTAAAATGTTGACGACATGCCAGTAACCACCAACTTCTCAACTGAATATTACGAAGAGCGAGTTATCACAGGAAGAAAAATTATGAACACTAACACAAGGAATTTCACTTGACAATCTGCGTACTCTCAATAGCTTAAACTAATCGAAATTTTATTGTCCTTTACAATGAATTTTTGCTGACTAAATAGACATTAACTCCAACGTAAATGAAGGGGGTGGATCGTGGGTCATTCGGCCGAATCTTGCGGGCTTTTCCATCTTTTCCAGAAGTTTATTGACATCACCCATTTGCGTAAATGATGATGAAAACAAATGAGGAAATTTAAGGTAAAAATTTGCAAAACAACGTAGACGTTAAACAAGATTTAAAATCGAACCAATCATTAGTTATCCCCGGGGGAGAGGAGGTGGAAGGTTGGGGGGGGGGGGAGATCACATGGCTTTCAGGGGGGAACAGAGGGAGAATCAGTCGTCGCCGACAGTGTATAAAGGGGGGGGATTATAGAAAATCCACTACCAGTTAACTGCCAATGAGAGGAAGGGGGTATGGTAAGAATCTTACAGAGCTTAGGGGGAGATCAGGTGAATTTTATGGCGACAGAACTAAAATCCCCCCTCACCCCGCCCAGGCCATAAATAATGTCCGGTCAATAAGAATGTTCTATTGAAAGTGGTAAGAATTGAAATTCAAATGAAAATAGGGACTAATTAAGACAAAAAAATGAAACAAGTTTTAAGGTAATGGAAAAGAGAGTCATAGTTATAGATGTAAAGTTCCAAAGGACGTTTATTTTTGTACAGCGAATTCGGAGTGTAATATGTGGTTGCACAAAAAAAGGACGTATGAATATTTTTGGTGGATCGATGAATCTTTTGTAAAAGAGTTTTGTTTAATGTTTGATTCTTGACTAAGAGAAAGGCTTTTGAAGAGAGTACCTTTTTATTGATAGGACACTGATTTGCAATTTCAAGTAAATAAAAGTCAGACAAAATGACACCAAGTATTCTGATTGTGATTACAAGGGAACACCCCTTTCTCACCTAACCCCCGCGCTCTGACTGCACAATGTCTGTCTTTCGTGTGCATTTTCATCTCATGTTGGGTGTCTAGGTAAAAATATATCTTCCACTGTAACAATTTCATAGGGACGGCGGAGCTTGGGAACGTAGGGTAGGGGGGGAGGGGCTAGACAAAAGTTTGCTTTAGTAAAGGTATGTATTAAAAATAAAGGAGAAAGGAAAAGAAAACGAAGCCTGTCAATCGAAGCGATCAGTCAAATCGCTACAAGCCTGAACACGACAGTGACTCAAAAGCAAATTTAATTTGATTTGGTTTTATCAGATGAACTATTTAATATAACTTGGCCACCGCAAAGAGTTTTTAAGCTAACATTTGGAATGTTAGCCCTCGAGTGCTAACGCTCGAAATGTCTTCTTTAGAAACTTTTCACGGTGGCCTATTTACATTTTCAATTCAGTTAACAAAACCAAATAATCTTGTTATATCCCCCACCGACGCAGCAACAGTTTCTTTCGAAACTTGTCCCCGCTCCTCGAGTCATTGGCGGAATGATAGCATATATACCCCTTTATGTAAGCTTGACTTCCACTCAAGAGTGTATCAGGGGTTTGGCGCATGCGTGTGTATGTGTGGAGGGGAAGGGGGAGGGGGATGTTGCAAGGAGAATGTGCACCTCCCTTTGTAAACTTCACTTCCTTCAAGGTTACATGAAGGGTTTTGATGACGGTGGGAGAGGGGTAGGGAGAATTTTGAACCCCTCTTTCTAAAATTGACCTCCCCTCCTGGGTGCATGATGGGGAAGAGAGGGGGGGACGCAAGGAGTGTGCGGAAAAATTGATAGTTTTGGGGTAGGACTCCTCCTCCTGCTCTTTTTGATTAATTCGCGATCTTTTTTTCATTTATACATGGATAGCTTTTCAGACGTGCACAAATTAAGCTTAGTGTTTCTTCTCTTCTTAATGTGCCCATAACAGAGACTTTTTTTGCGTATCTATTTAGCTTATCATATATTCAAACCAATTCCAATATTAAAAACCTAACTTTTGAGGGCAGCATCGAAAGAATCAATTGTATCACGAAGCCCGATAATTTTCATCGCGGAGTCATCGGGCAGTTTTACTGCAAGTTGCTACTGTTCTCAGACATTGCAAAGGCAGGGGCTATCGTCGTCGAGCCGTTCAAATGGAAAACGAGTGAGTTTACAGTCATCTGATTCAGGTTTATCTCAAATAAGGCTTTTAATCGAGAACGACCTCTTTAGTTTGAGTGCAACATTGCCACATGACCCACTTCGCTCACTAACAAATAACCGACATCGATGCTGCAAAGGAATATTTCGTATGCGTTGACTTTCACAAGGCGCTTGGATTCGCTACTTTCGAATTCAATAATATCCGTGTTTCACAATTCATCGCGTTGCAGTGCTGTTATATGACATTGCTATTTTTGCTACTTTTAGTTTCTTGAGGGCATTGTGGAATTGATGGCTTATCTGGTGGTCGTTGGGAGAAAACAAGGTCCCTTGGAGCTTGTGTTTAAGCTTGTTAAGAGGTTTCGCACTGTTCAGGCAACAGGATATCAGCGGTCAGCTCAGGAAAGGGCTTGACCTTTATTACAAATGATATATTTCTGTTATTAAAATTCGATGGAAACTACAACTGGTAGGATTATCAAACGATCAGAAAAGCGCAAATGTAATCGTATGGAAAGACAAAGAGTATAAGTACATCTTAAGCGCGTGAAATAAGCAACATTAAGAGGCTCACCATTCTTCGCTTGCGAAATGTCAACCAAAAAGAATGTGGAATAATCGTGTCCGATGTGGGAATAGGCCCCTTAATTAGCATTCGTTTTAGCTGAATTCATTGAAAATCTAAGTTCCCCTGATTTGACCAGTGGTATGTGTTCGTGACAGCCGTCTTCGAAGCCGAGACGGAGCATAAGGCCGACCACTTTGAAGAGTAAAATCTCTTCTATGACGACGAGTAAAACGCTTCCATTTTGGCCATACAGCTACATCTTTTGGAAAGTAGTGTATAGAAATAACCGATGTATGTGAATCATTCTTGTAGCTAACACCATTTAGCGCTCCGGCCACGCAATACGTTCGTCCTCTCTTCTTGATTTCTCTTTTCTCCTCCAAAGTCTCTTCACAGTTTTCTATATCACAGCTGCGTAATATGATCATTTTGGCCGCGCGCTAAATGGGGACACTTTTTGACCGCTAAATCGTACTTTCAACGCGCAAAAAATGGTTAAGGAGAACTCGCCAGGCGCTAAGGTCGATTATTTCAAATTTGAAATACAGCTATCAACCAGAAAACGCAAAAAAAACCTTGACACTTTTTATCTCTTCCATCAATTTTCTCCCCTTTCGTTTTACATTTTACACACAGCCATGTTTCATCTCTAGATTAAGAACTCTATGCACGAGGTGGCCATAGGTATTCTTTGATTTCAGTTAGCAAGACAAGTCACTCTTTCAACCAGTTTTTCTTTGTAAGCAGAATAAAACCCAATTCCTAAAACATACAAATTGTATCGAATCATAGGTCAATTTACAAAAGATATCAAGCGAAAAAATGGAATTGAAGAAAGGAAGCAGCAGGCTTTGGAGCATCATAATCAAACGGACTTTCTGGAAGAATGGGAAAAATTAACCATATCAAGAAAAAATAGAGGATAAAAACTGAAGTTCTACTGAAAATAACTTTACTTATATCAGTTAAGTCTTAAGAAATACATGAATCGTTCAAGTAAACTAACTCTTACAAAATTAAAAAATATCTTGTAACAGCTTTTCTAATAAAAGTTCACTTCAACTAATAAATTGTTCTTCACAGCCTACAACAAAGGCTAATGTAGTTATCATAAAGATTCTTACCATACAACATGACTACAAGTCAATAAATTAACTCTCTGCACCCTAATAGTTGTCAACTTCAAATTTCTCCTCACAAGACTAAAAAGTGTCAAGTATCACAAGGAAAGTTTATGAGAATCAAGTAACTGATCACCAAAGAATAATTACTCTAACCTTTAATCGATTAAGGCAGTCCCTCTCAAAAGAAAAAGTGTGAGTAGAATCTGTTGCTTAAGACAAAAAAACATTACATCCAATTTTAAACTACAGCAAGATCCGAGACAATCTAATGTTTCCAACTTATCCTCGCGCGGATAATCTGGTGGTTCACACGCATGCATTAGAGATGACAGAGTAAATATTGAATAGGTACGATTGTGATAAAGTGTAACGGTCTCCTGAATATAACTGTGCAAGCTTTCATAAAAGCTCATACAAAAGTAGATAATCTTAGCAAACAGATCCTACCTAAGTCTTGCACTAATACTGATATCGACAAATAGAAGCTACTGTACATTTACGCTGTTCCAGGTCAGAGTCATTAATCGCTGCTTATTCCAGACGTAAACGCTTCATAAAGTTGGTCCTTTGGCAAGGTAGCTATGTTCTGGAGTGTTCAAATGTATTGTCAGAGATGGATGACACTTCAACCTGTGCAGGATCAGAGCAGCAGCACCAGTATCACTAATTTTATTAAGACACAAATTCAATGTTGTCAGAGATGCATTCTCTCTCAAACACTCGCCCAGAGCAGCAGCACCATCATCACCAATTTCATTCTTATCCAAATCCAACTTTTTCAGCGATGTATTATATTTCAAACGCTCACCCAGAGCAGCAGCACCATCATCACCAATTTCATTACCTTTCAAATCCAACTTTGTCAGCGATTTGTTACATTTCAAACAATCACCCAGAGCAGCAGCACCATCATCACCAATTTCATTATAACCCAAATCCAACTTTGTCAGAGATGTGCTATATTTCAAACCCTCACCCAGAGCAGCAGCACCATCATCACCAATTTCATTAACTTTCAAATCCAACTTTGTCAGCGATGTATTACATTTTAAACACTCACCCAGAGCACCAGCACCACCATCACCAATAATGTTATTACCCAAATCCAACTTTGTCAGAGATGTATTACATTTTAAACACTCACCCAGAGCAGCAGCACCATCATCACCAATGACATTACCAAACAAATTCAACTTTGTCAGAGATGTATTACATTTTAAATACTCACCCAGAGCCGCAGCACCATCACCACCAATTTGATTAACTTGCAAATCCAACTTTGTCAGCGATGTATTATATTTCAAACACTCACCCAGAGCAGCAGCACCATCATCACCAATGCAATTACGCCACAAAACCAACATTGTCAGAGATGTGTTACATTTTAAACACTCACCCAGAGCAGCAGCACCATCACCACCAATTTGATTAAGTTTTAAATCCAACTTTGTCAGAGATGTATTATTTAGCAAACACTTTCCCAGAGCAGCAGCACCATTACCACCAATTCCACTACCAACCAAACCTAACGTTGTCAGCGATGTGTTAGATTTCAAACACTCACCCAGAGCAGCAGCACCATCACCACCAATTCCATTACCACGCAAATCCAATGTTGTCACAGTTGTATTTGTTTTAAGAACGTTACTCAAAGAGACAGCTAAAGTTTCATCCACTTCTCCCGCTGAAATAGCAACAGTTTCAGTTCGAAGGGAAGCGCCAAAAGCGGAAGCCAATTCTTCATCAACATTTTTGTTCTTATTTAAGCATTCACGAACAACCTCTAACATGAAGATCACGCTTTCCTCTTCTTCCTGGTTTAAATCTGTTGTTATACTTTTCAGAAGATTCGGCACTGTTTCTTTGCATCGTGCTGCTAACATTCCAAATGTAAACAGAAGCACTTCTTTCAGCTCATAGCGATATTTTCTGTTAGCAGCTATGCTTTTCGTACTGATTTCGTTCTTGATAAGCTGACAACTGAGATAGAATGCTGCGAAGAATTCTTGGAAAGTCTTGTGAAGAAAGCCATATCGTTTAGTTGGTGTTAGTTTACTGCCTCCAGGCTGAACTGACAGAAATCCAAATGCACGTAAATCGTTTGCTTTGTGTTTTTCAAGCTCCTCCTCGTCAAAATCCAAGTTGTCCTCGAGTAAACCTTTCAAAGCTATCGAACCAAGGTGTTTCAATTGGTTTTCGTAAAGGTTAACAAGGTCTTTGCCGTTTTCCGGTAGTTGCTGCTTTGTTCTGTATCTTCTTAATACACACTCCACTATTTTAATGTACAGCTTCGTTCTGCTTTCAGGAAGTACACCGTTCAAAGCTTCATATACCAGGCAAAGAAGCGCAGTGTTGAGAGGATTCCTCAATATTTCATATAACTTGCTATCATAAAACAGGTGTTTGATAAGCTGCTCGGCCAATTTTATGTTGGCTCTAAAGTAATTTTGAATGTAGGTTTCTACATCTTCTTCAGTAAATCCCTCAACCTCTAGCAGCGTTTCGCAGTATTTTCGAACTTTGACTCCAGCTTTGTGTCGTGCCGTTCCAATCACGCGACACTTTGGCAGTACTCGCCCTTGAATAACTTCTGAAAACATAGGTAGCTTCTTCTCAGAAACTTCATCCAATCCATCGAGTATCAGAAGAACATTAGATTGATTGTGGCGAATGAAGTCGAAGAATCTCTCTCGTTGGTCTTCACCAACATCTCGAGGCAGAAGTTGATCTTCAATGGCTTCCCAAAGGCCAGACCGAACATAACGACATTTGATCAAAAGCACTATTACAAAGTTTGTGAAGCAATTTCCAGTTGCGTGTTTTCCTGTAGCCCAGTCGAAAACAACTTTTTTACAGTAAGTTGTCTTTCCCATACCAGGCTTCCCTTCAATCAACACTACTCTTGGTTCTTCGCATTCTTCGTGCTGGTTGAAGATTTCAGACATCGTGACAACTCGTCCTGTTACGGTTCCTCTCGTTTTCTTTCTGTAGATGACTTTCAGTCTGGTGTAGATCTTGTCAAAGGAGAAGTGAAAGTCTTCACACCAGGGAAACGGTGCCAACCAACCTTCCCGATTTTTGTAGAGTTGACGAATTTTATCAATAATTTCAGTTGGGTCAAATCCATCTGAAAAAGAATTGGCTGTTAGTTTTTGAGGCATTCTTTCTGACACGCCATATGACGCTATGACTCTTGGAAAAGTAAGCAATTATATGGGATGAAGTTGAGCATGATATCATGAACAGAGTTTAATAGTTTATGATAATATGTAAAAACGGAATTCAACAATTGTTTCATAATACATTAAAAAAACGGCATAATAAAAATTTCTGCCCGTTTGTTCAAAAGTTTGAAAACACTGCACGGAGGAAGGGATTGGAAACTAAGCAGACTTTGAACTCGACATAATGAATATCCGCTGCACATAGGTTATCATGTCAATTTTATACGCTCATGTAGATCAATTAAATGCTCTCGACCAATCAGATTTTCATAGTAAGTTTAAAGTGTAATAAAACTGATTATCAACTGTCATATGATAACTGCTGATTTTAAAACTGATAAGGAAGTTAGTCAGGGCAAAACGGATCCATGTACCATGACTGTTGTTTGTTTGTTTGTTTTTTTGTTTAATAAAATTTATAAACCCTTCCACTCTCACGATCTCAGTGGTAACTATATGGAGTTTTTTTTCTTTCTCTTTTGTTTTTCTCATGTTTTTTATCTTTTTTCCACGCTCGTGACAAGACGAAAAACATTTCTCTATTTCTTTTACCAAGCTCAAAATTTACCTTCTTTCTTATACTATTTAAAAACATGCCGCTATCGACATTGCTGATCCTAACAGCATGCAGGACGCGTGTCATATATAAACTTCGTAAGGGGCCCAGCTCACTATAAAGTCTCTGTGTTGCTTACTGGTCCAGGAACATATATCAAATCACTTCAAATCACTTTGGTAAATGTCATTAGCCTCTGAATTTCCCATATTTTGGTTTGTTACATAAACCACACTAACTATTGTATAGAATACATGCAGGCCAGTTCACCTGGCTCATGGAGTGAATTTTTATTCATCAATTACATTTCTCAATTTAACCATAAGTTTTTTCTCCCACCACCTTAAGAGGCCTTGTTAAACCTACAGGTATGTAAACTCAAAATATGGGTAACTTAATTTCCTATTTGTGAACTATTACTGAATAAATCATCTTGATTTATAATCCATACAAGAATATGCTGAGGGAACTTAGATCTAAGTCAGACCTATCCTTGTAAAAAGAGAAGATTGAGACAGGAAGCAATACCTGCATTAAAATGAGGCCATTCTTGAAATATGACTGGATCATTCAAAATGTTGGCCACAACAGAAGCTGCCATCACACAGGCAATTTGTTTCCATTTCTCACTAGAAGACTGTGTTTCCTCTACAAAGTCTTTGATGCCCTTGACTACCAACCATTCTATCTTAAAATCATGGGCTGCTGCATACACTCCTGAAAAAAAACACTCATGTCTGCTAACTATATTATATTATATTAAGCTTATTTTCTTAACATCCTTGAAATAATTGTTCAATCAAAGCTCAAGAAGATTCACACTCTAGCTGTTTGTAAACATGCACATTAAAGGAAGACATTAGTTAGTTCCGAAATCAAATTTTTTTCAACCAGTAATTAAAAAAAATTGTACACTGAGACTGTAAAATTATTCTTCAGGCTTCACCTTGTTTCATAAGTAACTTTCAACATTTCTCAAAAGACAAACTTTTGTCAGATAGAGTTAACCCTTTCACTCCTAAGATCTCATTAGTAATTCTCTTTAACCCTTTAACTCCCGTGAGTGACCAAGTAAGAATTTCTCCTTACTATATCGATACAATATCATGCAGACAAGTGATGAGAATAAAGAAAAATGTCAATTATGGGATTACTAATTGTTCTGATACCACATTCTCCAAACTATATAATGAGAATCATTTTACAGACAGTAAGTAGAACTGCTAATGAGATCTTGGGAGTTAAAGGGTTGATGTCTGTTATACAATTCCTATGATGTTGGTTAGGAGAATTTGGTTTTGGATCAACCAATAATCCCCTAATTGACTTTTTTTCCTTTTCCCATTACTTATCTGCTTGGTATCATGTTGATACTGTAAGGAGAAATTCTATCTTGGTCACTCATGGGAGTTTAAGGGTTAACAGGGACTGTGATACTATTCCTCAACTCTCAAACTACTCAACAAAATACTTTCTACATTTTTCAGATGACAAATTTAAGACAATTCCCGACATCCTGAAGATAGACATTCAATTTAGTTATCCAGAAGAAGTCTCAGTCACTTTCACCTGCAAAAGAATCTTCCTACCTGTACCCCAGCCAAACACAAAATCACTATTATTATGCAATATATAATTCCTGCAAATTTGACATGCTATGTGGTACATGCTATTTCTTGGACCAGCAGAGACAACACCAGAGCAGTGTTTTCCAAAACACTTCCTTCAAGTGCAAAAGTGCTTGGCTCATCAATTATTTCAATTATTATGATTCTCACCTCCACCTTCCATTTCAACTGCAATTGCTTCAGGATGTTTCCTAATCATATCTCTGTTTGCCTCTGAGATACTCAGAACCTCTCCATCACAATGCACTTTGGCGTTATATTTATCAGCATTTTGTAAAGGTGCCTTCCACCCATCAGCCACATGTTTGATCAGGTTTCCAATATCTCTGCTGGGGGGAATTTTGTATGCAGCTGTTATCAGCTTTGCTGAAACAACCACGTCTCCTAACTTGACCTTTTTGCTGTTCAAACCACTGCAGGCACCAACAGAAAAAATAGCCTTGGGTCTCAGTAGCAAGATGGCATCTTTTGAAACAGACAAGGAACCCCCAGGAACATCAGAACCTTTGGAGCACCTCGTCAAAGCGATTTTCATTTCCTTTCCTTTATCATCACCCATGCACCCAAAGTACACAAGGCCAGTACTGCTGTGGTAACTCTTAAAGGGTTTCTTCAGGTAGGCAAAGCAGCTTAAGAACTCACATTCTTCCACTGTTAATAAAAGAATATCAACAGGAAGTTCAACAGTTTCCCAGGGATTACAGATTTTTGGAAGATCACTCAACTCTGGAAGCTTCACTCTGAGCTCTGGCAGGCTGCTATTGCTAGTCTGCGCTGATGTATTTTCCCCAGGCATTGTTACGGTGTCTGAAAAAGAAGGTTGTAGTTTTTTTTTAAACATTTGTATGTAACAATTAAATAGCTTATCCAAATGGAAATCAAAAGATAAGAAAGATGAAGAAAGAAAGCAAATTATGGATACAGTTGATGTATCAAGGGAATAAAGATTCACAACTTTAATTACACATATATGTGACTTTTAAACGATCTAGTACGACTAACTGTACATTATTGACTCTAAAAAGTTATTTTAAAACTCAGGTTTTAAAAAAATTACACACACCTCTCTCCCATGAATTTTGTTCAGAAATGTCAAAGGAATCCTCCATGTCCCCTCCCTCCCTGGCCTTTATCACAATTTTGTCTTCATGCAATTTGTCTGTGATGCAGTCATCATCTTTCAACCACTCTCTCAGAAGCTCTTGGTAGTGTTCTTCAAGATCAGCATCCATACAATGGAGTGTAGGATCATCTATGACTTCCTCATAGCAGGTCCCTCCAATACGCACAAAGGTGTCTTTGATGTTGTTCCAGTACAAACTAAAAGTTGGATCATCAACTGAAGCATTAGCAGCATGACTGAAAACTCTGTCCCTGAAAAACTTGATGCGAGTGATGTGAGCTTCTGGAGAGGTGTCTGATCCTGAAGGAAGGTTATTCCTGTCAGAGGCAGGGAGAGTAAGACCCCAGATATTCTTCAGAAGAATTAGCAGTAGGGAGGTGTTAAAGTCCTTTGAGGAAACTGAAGATTTGGAAGCAGGATACAGTTTCTCCCACTGGGAAGTACTCAGGACTCTCTTCTTTCGCAGTGTTTGCAATTTGGCATGGTGTGTGGGATTAGTCAGAACTGCATGTAGGTTTTCTGGTGGACATACCCGGTCAAAGATCTCCCTTAGCACAAGTGATCCAACTTCAACAAGAAGGCGACAGAGCTGGGCATAATTAGAGGTCTCTTTGGTAGAAGGATGCAATGGGGTGGCAGAAGCCATGAAATCAAGTCCTCTGTAAAGAAATGCTTGTAATTAATACATGGAAGGCAACATTACAGAGCACATATAAAAACCATTACTTTATTCTAACTTTGCAACACCAGAATATTACAGCACTCCAAAATGAGTTAAATATCACACAACAGATCAATAAAATAAGTTTGATGCATCTTCCATTTTAACCCTTTAACCTCTAAGAGCTGTGATTGGCTTCTAATTTCTCCTTACAGTATCAACCTTGAATCAAATGTATGGGTCACAAGAATAAAGGAGATCATCAAAAATTTAAAAAGTTCCTGATTCTCATGTCACACTTTATCTATTTTCTCATATTCAATAATTATATAAAATATTCCTTTGACTTGCAAATAACAGATGCTAATCCAAGCAAGGAAATTTTTTACTTAAGGTTACTGTCAACAAAATAGGGTGCCTTCTGGAAAAATTGTCCTACTCATATGCATGCTGCTATTAAAGAACTGTAATAAACAGAGATCTTCAGCAGATCATGGCTAGTTTAATCAAAGGTAAAGTCTAAAGGTACAGGGGAAACTTAGATGTGCTCTGTTGTGCAATATCTGTTTACTTGATGCTAAACACATGATTAGATTACAACAGAAACCTTAGAAAAATATACAGTAAAGCTTATAAAGTACAGATTGTGGAAATAACAAAACTTTTCACAGTTTTTGTTTGTTTTGGTAGGCACAAGTAAGCATTTAAATGCAACATTGATGGTGTTTGCTATGCTGAATTACTAGCCTCTGTGTTACTCCAGACCTTGAAACAAACTGGACAGTATCACCCAGCAGATAATGGGCTAACAAAGAGTGTCAGGCAATTTTGATATTCTCATTGGTTACTGAGAAAAATATTGTGAGGTTGGATTTCCCTTCATGTCAAACTCCAATAAATTGTGAGAGAAATATTTCAAATTTCATTAAAGCCTTATGCACTTCTGTGTGATAATATCTGAGGAACATTCAAGCCATTTTTATGAAAATCCAACAAATCTACATACCCTGTTCAGTGTTCTTCTTTATTTTAAGCATGACAAGTAAAATAAAATTTCAAACCAGGAAAGCAATCCTTTTACCTGTTGAATTTTCAAGAATTCCTAGCAATTTTAAACAGTAATAAGAGGTACTACAAGTGGTAAATGTTACGAGTTACTGCCTAAAAAGGGGAACACTGCCTATTAATATAGACAGAGGTAACTTGTGTAATAACAAACCTCAAGTTTTTTGGCCTCCAAAGAAATTTACAGTTTTCTTGCCTCCTTTTCAAAATGTGTGTCAATGTGGTCATGCCACCAGCCAATAAAACACAACATGGAACCCCCTGGCAAGCCTCCTGCAAAGAACTCCTTTGAAATTTGCAGGAAAGGTCATTTTGTGAAACAGGAACACAAGTTAAACATAATCCAGAAGTTGTTCAGCAGGCGGGTGAAAACGAACTTAACTTCATCTTCTTTGGCTCATGCTTTCTTCCACATTTAGTCCACTCTTTTAGGCCATTTGATGAAGACTCTCATTACCCAATATTTTGATAAAATGTGCTACAGATTCACAGTGAATGTACAGTGCAAGATGTGATGAAAACAATATATGCAAATTGAGATCCTGGACAAAAGCCTGCAGAAAACGTTAACACTCTGCTGGAGGCCTTTCTAATTATGACACCTTTCGCTCTTCTGTACAGGTTTCCTAAAACATTCTCTCTGTTGTATCTCACCTTTTTAAGATTTTTTCGGCAAATTAAATGTCTTTTAGGTGGTTTTAAAGAAAAACAAATCCCGAGTATCTAAGTGCACCAAAGATATTGCACAACTGCAAGTTCAATTTTTTCAATTTTGCCATGTTTAAATTTAACCATTATCTCATCAGGCTTGATATAAAAATCTTCAGTCTCTAGAATATTGAGAAGAGCTTTTTTTGTTTCTTTTTTTAAGGATTTCTTTGACAAATTTTTCTATTCATAGGCATCTCATTCCAGATTTTGACACCTAGAGTACTTAATCCTAACAAGTTGTAACGTTGATGAGCGAGTAACTATTAGGCATAATTGTTTGATGTTCTCACAAAAGGTTTAATGATGTTAGAATGTGCACTGTTGTTATGAACATCGAGCTTTAATTTACATACAGCTTCATAATATAAGATGGTAATAGGAAAAATTTTTCCATTTATGAATAAGTGGACGGCATGTTCTTTTCTATCAGTAAGGTAAATTAAACATAATACTTGCTTTTGGAGAACAAAAATTTTGTTTACTATATACTTTTTAGACCCATTGCCCTAAGCAGGGAGTCCATTGGTTAGATTAGGTAAAACGAAGGATTTATAAATATTTATGAAGACAGATGATGGAACAATGCATCTTAACTTACATGTAGCAATCATTTGTATGGTCTCACTTATTTCAGCGATAACACAGTCAACGTGGTTTTTCCAAGAAAGATTTTCATCAATTAAAACACCTATTAAATAATTGATGTAGTTCTTATGTTCTAAACTGACTCTTCTATTTGTTTCACTATCAAATATACTTCTTTGACAAATTCTCCTTGTCTGTTCCATAGGAAATGTAAAGAGAACAGTGTGGAGAATATCAATACCAATGCCTTAGGGTGTTAAGGGTTAAAAGTCAAATGGGGGAGGGTGAACCCACAAAATTCTATAAAACCCTCACTGCAGGACACATGGGTAAGGCAAAAATTAATGTGTTGCGACGATTTTACCGAAAGGCGAGCGGCATTCATGAATTGATGAACCAGCCCGTGGTGTGATTTGCCTTATGAAATATACCTGACCCCTTTTGTTTTATGAGAACCTCTGGGTTTCCTTGAAGCCTTGAACACAAGGAGAAAGAATTGAAGTTTGTCCTTGTATTTACACGATGCTTTAATTTTTTAATGGATCAAGACCTCCTTTTGTTACCTTCAACTGGGTGGGCTTCAGAGCTTTGAAGTTGAATTGCTGTTAAATAGTGATATTTTCAACTGCAAATTAGCCTTCAAATGTGATGCTACGGGCATCAACCTCCTCAGGTGGAAAGGGGCATACTTCGCCAAAAATTGTGAAAATTAAAAATGAAGTTGCTACGATGTCCTTTAACCATAGTGAGTATTTTCACTGCTGGAAAGTGAGGCAAGTTGAAAGGGAACAAGGAGTAAATTATATTTAAAAGGATAATTAATTTCATAGTTACTTCATTAAATAAGCAGTTTGCTGGGAGAAACAATACATGTAGTTTCGGTGAGAAAATATAATATTAAATTTGTTTGTGCAAGTCTCATGCTTGATGTGAAAGACTTGAGGGGTGACTCATAAGCAGCAGCTTACAAATTTCTGGAGTGGAGGACCATGTATCAGTTGTTCCTTAGGCTGAAAATGAAGGAACGTATCATGTAATTCACAACAAGCCAGCAGTGAACTATAGAAAATAGATTTTAAACAACTGTGTTGAAAACACATTTCCAATTTGGAAGCCAAATGAATTATAAGGCCACTACGGTCTTTTGATAGATTTCATCCCATTGGAACTTAAAAACTGTTCAATGTTCTGCTAACATCAATTCAAGTAAAATAAATTTTCGTGCCATGAGGCACTTGCAGGTAGATGGTCCATCAGGCAAAGCTGATGCCCTTCAAAAACTTGACTGTTACGGGATTCCAATCAGAGCATGTCTTTCCGACACAAGTTACAAAAGGCAGAGGAGAGATTACTTGTAACTCTAGAGTTTTCCAAGTAAAATAACCAGATTCAGAAAAATAGTAGATACTCGGTTAAACAATATAAAATAATAATGAATGTAAACATACTATGTGTTTCTCTCAGAACAAATAAGCAAATGGTTGGCAAATACGAAGATGTCTTCAACAAACATGCAGAAGGTGCTTACCGAAGCACCAATCCAAGAATTTAACCCATTTTAAACCATATGTCTTTTACAACACATATTTCATGGCTAGTGTGACGATAGGTTTTCCTCGCCCCAAACTGGGGAACTGTCTCTTCGCGGACGGCACAATAATAACTGGGGGAACTAACTCTGTAGAGGCGACTTGGCAGCGAGAACGGAAACTCGTCACGATTTCCTGGTACACGGAGATCTGCTTCGAGCGAGCTTATACGGACGTCAAGGATAAGACAATCTTTGGTTCCACAGTACTTTTATTCTAGGCCGGGCCAACAAGTGACATGACCTCTAGCATACTCTAGTTTGTAATCATCAAAGCTGTACAAGGTACTTGCTTAAGAAGTAACTGGTGCGAAGTGCTATTGTTACACAAATCGCAATATTTGAATAAGGACACAAAGGAGCAGAAAAAAGTCTCTTTGAAGTTAAACGAAAACTACTTAATTATTCCATCTGTTTCTACGACGGAAAGTATCTCGAAATTAAAAAGACGGATGCAATAAACTTTAGGCCATTAAAGTAGGAAACCTAGGTGCGATTTTACAGCTCTGATATAGAAAACAATACCTATCTTAATTGCAGTAGCGCAGCTCAGGAAATAAAAAACCAAAAAGCAATTAAAAGTTTCTGCTTATTTATGCAAGATTGGTTTGGAAACCATCGCATGAAAAGAAATTAGATTTACGCGTTTAAACTCAGCTGCTATCTACCATGAAAACCAATGTTTCCAGAAAGACCATTAACACTTATATTTACCTAAAAAAAACCATGTACTAGATGACAAAAGTGCCGACAAGCAGGTGCATAGTAAAAGCGAGTAATCGATAAAAATCCATTCTAAAAGCCACTGTAGTTTTTTTACATTTTTTTTTAACTACCAAAGGAAAAAAACCCGAATAACCGAATATTCCAAATGTAAAAGTATATGAATATATTTTTAAGATGTTTATCCCGAAACCCACGAAAACCCTAAATACAATATTTTTGTGATATGTCAACAATTTACTTTTTCTGGTTATAACTAATTTGAATAATCAACAATTTGAATAGAACAACTCGTTCACCATTCTTTACCGCTCAACCGGTCGAGTAAAAGAA